GTGCGCAAAAATCTGCATACATACGTAGCAAGAGGGTACATTACATAGATGCATATCCACACTGTGTAAGTGTTTGTACGAACATAGATATACACCAGTATGCATGCAGAAACATAGATGTTTACACCCAAATACGCCCCGAACATCTCTCTGGGCGCCGCACCTGTGATCGTGACCCAGAATGCGACGACGACGGCGGCGGCGGCGGAGGCGAGGGCAGACAAGGGCAGCGTCTGGGTGCCGAGCAAGCGAGGGGCAGCGCCTGTTTTACCGCGTCCATAATAATACCTTGGCCACGCATCGGAAATGTCTGGCAAACACGGCCACCATATCATTTTCCTCCTACATCAACACTTGCGAACGGCTGGCTCCCATTTTCGTATTTAAAACGTATAATTAGCGACAGACATGCAAGAGTTCTGCTCTTGGTTTGTTATCGTGGTCCGTAACTGTATTGTGATATTTACAGTTTATCAGCAAGGCCATTGTTTTCTTAGGATACCTGCCAGGAAAACATAAGCTATAATAAATTAGGGTAACAGTCATACAAATGATGAGAGATTAGTGTTAATGATAATCATAACACCAATATCGAAAAGAGAAAACATAATTGTGATAATGAATAATAAGAAATCAAATGATAAACACCAATTCGATGATGGTGACAATAGTTACAAAAGTAAGTGCGGGTAATATGATAACTACAAACAATTTTATTAATGATAACGAAGTAAAGCTCAATAGTAACACTGACACTAAAGAACGAATCCAAAGAAAAAAAAAGAATACTACACAAATATCAATCACATAAGAAAATCAAGAATCACCATTCACTTAATGAATTTTCTTAACAAAACAAATTAAGAGAAAACGGACATCTTTAAAATGTCAGATAAAAGCGAAAAAGGAGAAGTGAGGAACGAAAGCTAGGAGAGATGGGGAAGGAGAGAGGGAGGAAAGGGGAAGAGAGGAGAGGGGAAGGAGAAGGGGAAAGAGGAGAGGGGAAGGAGAAGGGGGGAGAGAGGAAGGGGGAAAGGAGAAGGGGGAAAGAGAGGGAGGGGAGAAGGGGAAAGAGAGGATGGGGGAGGAGAAGGGGGAAAGAGAGGAGGGGGAAGGACGAGGGGGAAGAGGAGGAGGGGAAGGAGAGGGGAAAGGAGAGAGGAAAGAGAGAAGGAGAGGGGAAAGAGGAGAAGGGAGAGGGGAAACGAGAGAAGGAGAAGGGAAAGAGAGAAGGAGAGGGGAAAGAGAGGAGAGGGGAAAGATAGGGGACGGGAAAGAAAGAAGGAGAGGGGAAAGAGAGAAGGAGAGGGGAAAGAGAGAAGGAGAAGAGGGGAAAGAAAGAAGGAGAGGGGAAAGAGAGAAAAGAGAGGGGAAAGAAAGAAAGGAGAGGGGAAGAGAGAAAGAGAGGGAAAGAAAGAAGGAGAGGGGAAAGAAAGAAAGGAGAGGGGGAGAAAAGAGAGGGGAGAAAAGAGGAGAGGGGAAGAAAGAAGGAGAGGGGAAAGAAAGAAGAGAGGGAAAAGTATAAGACAAGAAAGGGAGAGGGAAAGAGGAGGATAGAAAAAGACATGAAAGATGGGGGAATAGAAGAAAAGGAGGGAAAAGGACGTGGGGAGGGAGGGGTAAATGGGAGAAAGAGAAAAGAGCAGGAGAAGAAAGGAGTGTGGGAGAAGAGGGGGGTGAAGGGGAAGTGAGGAGATGAGAGGAAACAAGAGTGTAAGAAAAATATAAAAGAAAAAAAAAGAGGGGAAACGAAAGTAAGGTGAGGGGAAGGAAATCTAAGAGAAGAGACGAGGGAAGAGAAGAGGGAAAGGGAGAGAGAGAGAGAGAGAGAGAGAGAGAGAGAGAGAGAGAGAGAGAGAGAGAGAGAGAGAGAGAGAGAGAGAGAGTAGAAGGATAGAAGAAGGAGGGAATATATATATATATATTTTTTTCCGAATGTTGTCCGTAAGTCTAGCTGAGGATGTGGGCGGCCGAGACACCCGACACCAGGGCGTGGAAGGGGTGGGGGGAGGGATAAGACAAGGTGGGGGGGGGGGGTGAGAGAGCGGGTAGATGGTAAGGGGGAGGGAGAGCTAGGGGAGGGGGAGGGGAGGGAGAGGGGGGAAGAGGTAAAAGAGGGAGGGAGGGGAAGAGCTAAGGGGGAGGAGATAGGGTAGAGGAAGAGAGTTAAAAGAGTGAATAGGGAAATAGGGTAAAGGGGAGGGGGATGAAAGGGTAAGACAGGGGAAACAGATAGGAAAGAGGGGGAAGGGTTGAAAGGTGTGAGAAGGGGAAAGGGGAAGGGAAGAGAAGGGAAAAGGGGAAAGGGGAAGGGACGGGGAGAGAAGGGGATAATGGAATTAGATGGGGAAGAAGGGGAAGGGGACGGGGAGAGAAGGGAAAGAGGAAGGGGAGAAAAGGGAAAGGGGAAGGGGATAAAAGAGAGAAGGGGGGGAGAGGAAAGGGGAAGGGGAGAGAAGATGAAGGGGATAAAAGAGGAATGAAGGGGAATGGGAAAGAAGGAGAAGTGGAGGGAAAAGGAAAGGGGAAAGGGAGGGAAGAGGAAAGGGGAAGGCGAGGGAAGATGAAAGGAGAAGGGGAGAGAAGGGGAAAGGGGAAAGGGAAGATCCAAGCCACGCAGCTCACCCACACCCGACACTACCAGCCTTTCTCTTTCTCACATGATTTCCTTTTCGTTTTCGGCGGTCTCCTGTGGCACGGAAGAGGGGGGGGGGGATCTTCATTTCGTGGGTCTATTGTGTACTGCGTCTTCCATGGCCGATAGAGCTGAAGTTCTACTATGGGTTCATTCATCAAGTCATTCATTCATTACTTTAATAATCTCTTAAGAATGATGTATATGTGTGTATACACACACACACATACACGCATACACAAACACACGCGCGTGCGTATATATGTATGTATGTAGGTATGTATGTATGTATGGATGGATAGATGGATGGATGTGTGTGTGGGGGGGATGAATGAATGGTTGTATGTATGTATGTATGTATGTATGTATGTATGCATGTATATATGCATGTATGTATACACTTGTATATGTATGCGCGTATGTATGTATGTATATGTACTGTACATGTATGACGAATATTAATTATACAAAACATGTGGATGAATGTACGAATGCATTTAACTGCATATATTTTCCTTGGGGTACATACGTATGCATCTCTCTCTCTCTCTCTCTCTCTCTCTCTCTCTCTCTCTCTCTCTCTCTCTCTCTCTCTCTCTCTCTCTCTCTCTCTCTCTCTCTCTCTCTCCTCAACAGCTAAACCTTCAAGGCAATATAAAACGCACAGACGGACACGCACCGAAGTGACTGCCAGAGGTAGGACACGGGGTTGTGTCGGTAACGTAACCTTATACTTCTCCAGCCAGTAGATCAGGCTTGGGTTGTCGTGGCGTCCAGGAGGAGGCCGGGGCAGTTGCGATCCAACACTACTGGTTATATCGATTTTTTATATATATATATCTTCCTTCTTTCTTCTATTTTTCTTTTTTCTTTTCTTTTTTTTGCATCGGTACGCTATACCAAAGTCTAAAAAAAATAACTAGATAATGCGACTGACTGAAAGGAAATACATGCGAGCGGATCGAATGATGGAACCTGGGGGGGGGGGGGGGGGGGGGGGAAATGTGATTTCAGGTTCCGCAGGCGCGACGAAAGATTGGCGTTTTGGCGGCAAAATGGCGAATTGTAAATGGGTCCGTCGCCGATTTGTCACGCTTGTAGCTCCTCCATTCCGCTGGGTTTGTACTCTGACTTGGGGCTTGTTGTTTGGGGAGCATTCGGGCGGACGTGTCCGATTCTGGTGATGTAAACATGGAGCGCTTTCTCTCATTCTTTCTCTCTCTCTCTCTCTCTCTCTCTCTCTCTCTCTCTCTCACTCTCACTCTCTCACTCTCTCACTCTCTCACTCTCTCACTCTCTCACTCTCTCACTCTCTCTCACTCTCTCTCTCTCTCTCTCTCTCTCTCTCTCTCTCTCTCTCTCTCTCTCTCTCTCTCTCTCTCTCTCTCTCCTTGTGTCTGTCTGTTCCTCACCCCGTGTCTGTCTGTCTGTATATGTCTATGCCATTTCTGTGTGTGTGTATGATTACCCAGCCCTAGGCTTCTGGCGGCTGAGAGAGGGCTGGGCTTGGGGTAAACTTGACGCAATCTATCAGCCCCGTCATCATGGCGACCTTCCCTGCCTGCTTGCACTCTCTTTCCATCCTCCTGTCCTCCAACTACCCTTATCTTCTCATTCCTTTTACTCTCGTTTTCTTCTCTCCCGTCTGACTTCTCTTTTTTTTCTCCTCGTCTTCTCCCCTTCCTTGATCTCTCTTTTTCTACACTTTCTTACCTTTTATCTTATGTCCCCTTTCATTTTCTTCTATATCCCAATAATTTGTCAATCTCTAATATTTATTCTCCCTTAACTTTTCTTATCTATTATCCTGAACTGTCTCTTTTCTTGCACTTCCATTTTCATCATATTTTAATACATATTTTCCTCTATATTTCCGTATTTTCCCATCCTGCTCTGACCTTATTCCTTTTCTTCATTTTCCTCCTTTTAACTGTTTTAACCTCTATCTTCTTATCTCCTCTTCCTTATTATCTATCCGACCCTAACCTGTGTTCTACCGCCATCGATACTTTCTCGTAAACTCTTCATGTACTAATTTTCTAAATCATTTGCATATATTTTCTAATTGATCTGTTGATCACCTGCTCTTTATTCATGGCCTACCTAAGCGTTAATTGTAACACACCTGGTCCTTCCCTGGGCGTTTAGCTCTTCACCTGCCAATTAGCTCTGCCTTTTTCATCATCTGCCTGTCATGAACCAGCCCGAAGGGGGCGCTCGGGCAGAACGCACTCGCATCACCTTCACCCTCTCGTGTTGTCTTACACACCTGACTCGTCTCACCGCCACTCATTCACTCATCACGCTCGCACTCAACACTGCTGATGCCCCGCGACGTCTTGGAAAGGCTCGAGGAGGAACTCACCGTCTGGTTCGTGGGGTCGAGGTAGCGGAGGCCGAAGTAGGCGGTCTCGAGGAGGTTGAGGTGCTTGAAGACGGTGTCCAGGAGGTCCTGCCCCGTGGTGGTGTCCTGGAGGGAGAGAGAAAACGAAATCCCTGAGCAAAATCTTCGTGAAAGTGAGGGCAGTAAAGGGAAGTAAAAAGGAGAATAATAATGACATAATATGAAGAGGTCTGTACTCTGGGATGAGGTATCTACAGCTGGCACTTCGCTTCCGTTCCGTGAATCTGATGTGTCACTGCTGTCCTCTGAAAAGAGTGGATACAGCGGGAGAGGACGAGATAAGGGTATGGTAAAATAAAAAGCAAATGATTAATAATTGCGTACGTCGTGCACCAGCATCAGAAGGTTAACACAACATCATGATCTGATGATCTGAAGACGGGGAGGGAGAGAGAGAGAGATTGAAAGAAGAGAGAGAGAGAGAGATTGAGAGAAGAGAGAGAGATTGAGAGAAGAGAGAGAGATTGAGAGAAGAGAGAGAGAGATTGAGAGAAGGGAGGGAGAGAGAGAGAGAGAGAGAGAAGAGAGAGAGAGTAAGAGAGACTGAGAGGAGAGAGAGAGAGAGACTGAGAAGAGAGAGAGAGAGAGAGAGACTGAGAGGAGGAAAAATAATGAAAGAAGGAAAAAAAGAGAAAGGAGAGGGAGGGAGGGAGAGTGAGATGGAGAGGGAGGGAGGGAGAGTGAGATGGAGAGGGAGAGAGAGAGAAAGAAAGAGAGAAGGAGAGAAGGAGAGAAGGAGAGAAGGAGAGAAGGAGAGAAGGAGAGAAGGAGAGAGAGAGAGAGAGAGAGAGAGAGAGAGAGAGAGAGAGAGAGAGAGAGAGAGAGAGAGAGAGAGAGAGAGAGAGAGAGAGAGAGAGATAACCGACACCGCCGCCCAAGACCCGTCTATCATGGCTGTCAGAGATGAAGACTTGCATATAAATAAAGACCGAGTGTCCTCGTGGGTGTTACTGTGAAGGGGAGGGGAAGGGGGGAGGGGGAACAGCCCACCAAGCCTTCTGGCCTTGCTTGTCTCTAAAGACTTTTATAACCAAATAATGCACCGAGGCACAGAAAAAGTCTTTAAGCGAGTATCATATTTCATTTAATATTTTTAAAAAGAAGAACACGCCAATAATGATAACATGTTTACACAAAATGTGACAAACACCAGAATTTCCTCTGGAGTGAAGGAACAATGCAACAAGCAAATCGCCAATGTCGCAGGAATAATAAAAAAAAAGGCTCGTAAGTAACACGGCAAGACGTTTTTCGAGAAATGAGAAAAACGTGTTGGTTCATTTCGTCACGGCACTTGAGGCACGGTGAGGCTGCATCCTGCCCCCCCTCCTCCCCACCCCTGTATGTACCCCTGTAAGGCCCCAGGGGATGCCCACCCACCGACTCTTTTGTCTAGGGCATCACGGTCGCTCCGCGTACAATCTTCACATCGTCTGCCCGAAAATCCAGCACGTCTTTTTCATCATTATTCACCCTGTTCACTATTTCCACTAATCTTAGTCGTTGTGTTATTCGCTAAATCACAGTCACTTACGGACATTAATTTTCCACCGAAATGATTAACCAAGAGTTGCTTACCAACAATCCTCGCCGCGCCGGACGACTCCCTCTCGACGTCAACTCGCTACGGCCGCCCCCTGCACCAACCCCTCCCAAGCACGCCCCCTCCCGCCCCCCTACTACAATCACCCCCCCCCCCGCCTCCCTAGTATAATACTACCCCTGCACAACTCCCCCTCCCCCCTAGCCTCCCTTCGACGATGCCACCCCAGCATGGCCCTCTCCCCCCTCCCGCCTTCCTAGTATGATACCTCCCCAATGCGCCCCCCTCCCCGACGCCCTGCCCTGGACACCGAGGTTGCTTTACGACCTATAAACTTATACCAGAAGGCCACAGGTGTGTTGAGAGGGGGGGTGGAGGGGGAGGAATAGAAGGAGGGGAAGGAGCGAGGGGCGGGGAGAAGAGGACATTGTGGCACACCTATCGCAGGCGTCATTAAGACCGCTTTGCCCATCCATATTCGAAACAAAGTGGTTCTAATTGCCTACGATCCATAATGGTCAATTTTTGGGATGATTATCCCATATATGGCACAGTAAGGTGGGGGGAAGGGGGGGAAAGGGTCGCTGGTCGTGCACAGGTGGAAAGCACGACTGTTTGCTTGTTGGCTTGTTTGGCCTTCACTGTGAAGTGTGATGGGTGCACGGGTCATGTGCGCTGTTAACGAAGCACGAAACGGTCCAATACTTATTTCGATGAAACTTGTTTATGTATTCAAACACCGATATCCATATATATGAATATATATGAATATATATGAATATATATATATATATATATATATATATATATATATATATATATATATATATATATATGTATGTGTGTGTGTGTGTGTGTGTGTGTGTGAGTGTATGCATATGTATATATATACATATATTCTCTCTCTTTTCATATATACGTACATATATACACACACATACACAGGCATATATATATATATATATATATATATATATATATATATATATATATATATATACATATATACATATATATTTACACACATACACGAATACCTCTACATCTATAAATAAATGACTTATAAATATGGATATACATATATGCAAAATTCTCTTTCCACCGTCGCTCAAACCTTAGAAACAATCCAGCAAACAACTCGGCAAGTGCACAGCATGAGACTGACGCGATCGCAATGCTTAATTAATTTACAAAAGTCAACGGTACATAGACAGGAGTGGTAAACATCAGCCGGGAATAATAATAATGATGATAAGAAAATATAAGTGTGTAGATGTAAAAATAATAATAATAATAATAAAAACGAGTAAAATAAAAGAGATTACATGGGAATAAAATTTAATAAGATCGCAGCCTAATTAAATGGAATCAAAATATAATCTAGAATACAATGAAAATAAAGTAAAATTATGATAAAATTGTTAAAAACCTTACCAAGAGGCAATTAAGTAAAAAAACATATATATATATATATATATATATATATACATATATATATATTTACACACATACATGAATACCTCTACATCTATAAATAAATGAATTATAAATATGGATATACATATGCAAAATTCTCTTTCCGCCGTCGCTCAAACCTTAGAAACAATCCAGCAAACAACTCGGCAAGTGCACAGCATGAGACTGACGCGATCGCAATGCTTAATTAATTTACAAAAGTCAACGGTACATAGACAGGAGTGGTAAACATCAGCCGGGAATAATAATAATGATGATAAGAAAATATAAGTGTGTAGATGTAAAAAAAAAAATAATAATAATAAAAACGAGTAAAATAAAAGAGATTACATGAGAATAAAATTTAATAAGATCGCAGCCTTATTAAATGGAATCAAAATATAATCTACAATACAATGAAAATAAAGTAAAATTATGATAAAATTGTTAAAAACATTAACCTTACCAAGAGGCAATTAAGTTAAAAAACGACGAAAATACAATTTAATTGAACTGCAACAAAACAGAATGTCGTTATATATACATATATATGTACATATATATACAAAATATAATATATATGATAGATAAAAAATATATACATATATATGTATGTATGTATGTATATGTGTGTGTGTGTGTGTGTGTGTGTGTGTGTGTGTGTGTGTGTGTGTGTGTGTGTGTGTGTGTGTGTGTGTGTGTGTGTGTGTGTGTGTGTGTATGTGTGTGTGTGTGTTTGTAATAAATAAATAAATAAATATATATATATATATATATATATATATATATATATATATTTATTTATACACCCATATACATATACACCACTTACACCATATATATATATATATATATATATATATATATATATATATATATATATATATATATATATATATATATATCACACACCACATACACATATATATAATAACATAAAGCACATAACCCTCTGCACCGAATAAACAAGTACAGCAAAACAACTAACCCTCCTTCTATATAAACAAGTTAGCATCGGTTATAACTCACTTGCGTAATCACAGAATCAACGTTCTCTTATACCCTGACGTCGGGCGGGGCTATAGTTTACTATATTTATTTCCTGTGAGGGGGAGGATATCACATTAATCAGTGTGTGCGCGTGTGTAAGTGTGAGTGTGCATTCTGTATGTGTTGCGTGTCGTGTGTGTGTGTGTGTGTGTGTGTGTGTGTGTGTGTGTGTGTGTGTGTGTGTGTGTGTGTGTGTGTGTGTGTGAGTGAGTGAGTGAGTGAGTGAGTGAGTGAGTGAGTGAGTGGGTGAGTGAGTGAGTGAGTGAGTGAGTGAGTGAGTGAGTGAGTGAGTGAACGAGCGAGTGTTTCGTTGCATACGTGTCAATATTTTGTCAATTCTTTTATCTGCCGTTATAGTTTTTTCCTTCTCAAGCCTTTCAACAGAGCCCCATCATCTACACCTCACTGTACCACTTAAACTATTAAACGTTACAAAATATGCAAAGTGCACATCAGCGTTGTCATAAAAATCATCAGAAAATAAATATTAAAACCCATTGGCCCCATTACCACTGAGCGGCGAGACCAATGAGCGCATGTGACAGGAACTGCCAGCAGGTCGTCCGAGTAATCTGTGCGGCAACGAGTCACAAGGCCGGTAATGAAGGGCCGCCGAGTTATGACTAATTAGAGCACTAATGATAGGTGGCGCAGTCAGGCCACTCAGCCCGTAATGCGTGGCTGGGCTGCTTGGCCAAAATACCGGTTAGCTCGCACATCCATAACATCGCAGATAGGTCGGGCTCGTAATGGGGTTTCAGAGGCCGTTCCGACAGCACTAAACAGCGGATGGCTGGCGAGGAGAGAGTCCCGCGTCCCGGAGCTCCGGCCTGTAACAGGCTGTTCGGCTGGCGAGCACCAAAGTCTTTTACCTTCTTCGTCTTCCTCTGTTTCTCTTTTATTCTTATTCTCCTTTGCAGAACGACCTTCCCCTCTCCGCCTCCTGCATCTCTTATTTTCTTCACTCTTCGTTTCTCGTAAACTGCGTAAACACTATATACACCCGTCCGGGATTTCA